AGTCACCTATTATTGCCACTAATGAACATAATCATATTTGCTCTAGATTGCCCTAAAATAATATACTTTGCCCTGATAATAAATATAAAACACAAAGTTCTGAATTTCATAGTACTAAATTTCTTTAATGTCCAGATAAATGAACAAAGGTCATCAGGGTCCTGGGCACTGAGAGGAACCAGGTAAATACTGAAAAAAATCAGACTATATGCAAATAAGGTAGTTTTTATTTCTCTTTTTAAAAAACAATGAAACAATGTGCTTTATATTTGTTGGCTTCTTTTTATGATGAGTACGTATTGACTTATCAAAGTTACATTTTTTTAAACCAAGTTGAAAATAAACTGTTTGCGCTATGCTTATAAATCTGGTAAAAACAAGAGAATGCCCATATATACAAATGGAAGGCCTTGAAGGGAAATAAATAGCTTAACACAAACCAAAGAGAGGAGGAAGAGGGAAGATAAGAAGAATTCCAGGCATCAGTCGTAGTACAGAGTCAAAAGAAGATAGGATAAAAGCAGAGAACAGAGAATAATCCAGTACTTCTACAGCAGGGGTGCTTGATGTTTTTGGGTGTCATGGCCCCTTTTGGCAGTCAAGCAAAGCTTTACCCTGTATCAGTTCAAACAAATTTCCCCAATTTCTCTAAAACCATTCCCTCTATCATTTCTCAAAGCTCAATAGTATTCCGTTGCATTAATTCCCCAGTTGATGGGCTCCTCCTTAGTTTCCATTTCTTTGCTAACTCCAATCTGTATCTTACTGCTGGACCCAAATGGCTCCAGAGGAGAAAGTGAAGCTTGCACAGCCATCCCCCACTTAAATCCAATTCACTTGCGTGTCATGGCGTCATCTCCCTGATATCATGATCCTGTTTGAGAAAGAAGGACAAACAACAACCTCTGTGAGTAGGAAGTAGTAGCTTGCCCCACTGGGGACCCAACTGGAACTGGCCAGTTGGGCAAACACAGCTTCTTCTTTCTTTTTTTCTTTCTTTCCTCCCTTCCTTCTTTCCTTCTTCCTCCCCTTCCCTCCCCTCTGTCTACATACAGTATCATACATACCTTTACCTGTATCATACCCTATAACTACCCAAGGAATGTAAATTTTGATAGCTGAAACCTCAAAGTATCTTGGGGTTTATAGGCCAGATTTCTTTCTTAAGGACCATGCCTTAAACCCAAATCACTCTGGCTCTCATTGACTGGCCAACAATAGGAGGTCAATCCCCATTTGGTCATTGTTTGGTCCCTAATTGGCTCAGAGGAGTGTAAATAGCAATTGTTTCTGTTTTGGTCAGAAACCCTGGGAGTCTTCCCTTCACAGATTCATTTTTTTTTTTAAACTAGGTAAAAGAGGCCATTCTCTGCCTCATTTCTTACCTAGCCTTAATCACTGAATGGGTGTTGCCTCAGTCAAACTGAGGCCAAAGTCTCCCATTGCATCCAGGGCCATCTTCAGGCATCCTGATTTATATATTGCCACTGGACCCAGATGGCTTCAGAGTAGAAAATGAGGCTGGTGATTCTGCACAGCCCTCCCTCACTTAAATCCAGTTCACTTGCATGTCATGACATTACCTTCCTGATGTTGTGGTCTTCTTTGAGAACAAAGGACAAACAGCAACAACTCTGTCAATGTACTGAACAGCTACAGCTCCAAAAGACCAATGATGAAGTAAGCTACCCAGTTAATGCTAGTGCCTTTTCTCTAAGATATTTGTATTTATCCTTTATCTTGTTTGTGCATAATAATTTACATGTTGTCTCCTCCATTAATACTGTGAGCTCCTTGTATCCTCACTGCCTGGCATATAACAGGCACTTAATAAATGCTACTTGACTTGACTTTGACACATAGTCCAAAAGATACATGTAGTTTTAAGACATGGTAAATGTGTGGATTTGTTTTGACTATGATTATTTTTACAAAGATTGTTTTTTCTTTTATTTTTTTTTAATTGGGGCATGATAGAGATAGCTAGTAATTGTATTGCCAGAAAGAAAAAAGGGTAATTGAAGCATTTTATAAAATACACAGAAGTTGAGAGAGAAATGTATACTTTAAAAAAAAATGCATAGAGATTTACAGTTTCACATAAAATCCTTTTTCTGTCCTCCTTTGTATATGGAAATATTACACCCCCCCCCTTTTGGTGTTCATTAACTTCAGAATAAAAAAAAAATCCAAATTATGTCTAATGTTCCCTTAGGAAATCAGTATTTCTGTGTTTTGTTTAACTTTAACCAACTGTGTTAGAGTGTCCAGCTAGCTAATATTAGAAACAAAGCTTTTCCCAATATTACTTCAGCTTTTATTCTTCCATTTTGGTGGATATCAAAATTCCTAAGAGTAAGTGCTTGTTTCTAGAAATAAACTGATGTTGACAACCATTGCATGATTGTAAGCATATAAAAGAATGTAAGCTTTAATATTTAATGACTTGTCCAAAAGCCAAAAAATAGTCAGGACTTTATTGAATATTTGCAAACACCATCCAAAGGGAATTTGTCTTTTGCTTGTTTCATAAACTCTTAGATGAACCAATATTATCTTTGACCAAGAAAAAAAAAGGAGCTAATATATAGTTTCACTGATGAACACAGAAAAATAACAACAATGCCATGCTATTTGTTTTACTCTTGAAATATTTGTTAAATGATTAATACAAATGTTTGTAAAAGTAACATCTACTTTTTTAAAGATAGTCATTCATAGGGCAGCGAGGTGGTGCAGTGGATAGAGCACCAGCCCTGAAGTCAGGAGGACCTGAGTTCAAATTCAGCCTCAGACCAAACACTTGACACTTACTAGCTGTCTGACCCTGGGCAAGTCACTTAACCCCAATTGCTTAAGGAAAAAGAGAGAAAGATAGTCATTCATTTTGTAACTAATCATATAGTATATTTCACCTGATAAAGTGATTTTCATAAGAGGTTCAGATGATTTTTGTCATGGCAAGTAAATGCTGTTTCTTGGAAGTCACTGAAATATTTTGTGTATTAACAGATGTCTAAATATGTTTTGTAGCTAGAATCGTTTAATAGTATTGTGGATCCTGTGATATGTGTTGCTGTATGATATCCTTTTGATAGCTTTTCTTTTGTCATGCTGTGGTTTAATTCACTTTTAAAAGTCTTATTATTAATTACAAAGCAGTGTTTACACATTTCATTTTTATGTTAAACTTCTTGGATTTTTGCCAACTTATTTAGTCAGAAGAGCATGGAAACAGGAGAACTGGCTTTTAAAGTATTTCTAGAAAGTATCCAGCCTTTTTCTCTGCAAAGCCCCAGCATAGACTTCATGGGGGCTAGTTGACTAAAAGACAAAGGACTAGTTTTGCCTTGTGAAATCGCTTTGGAATTAATAGCTTTTTAGAAGCACCTCAGTTCACAGCTGATGTAAAAGTCCTAGTTACCAGGTTATATCTCCCAGGCAGTAGATTTTTCTGCCTTTAAACTTCTTGTTTGTTGTTATAACTTGTAATGAATATCTTCTTAGGATACTAGGAGGAACTAATGTGACAAGCATATAGAGCTTTGCAAAACTTAAAGTGCTATAAATGCCCATTTTTATTATTAATGACAATAATAACAAGTATTATGAGGTGATTTAAGAAGTCCTAGAACAGGGAGCTCTTTGTATAAGACATTAAGCAGCAAATATTAGTGGGACTTGAGCAATTTTGTGCATTTTTATTTTTTTAAAAAAGCTTCAGTTATAAGAAATAATGGTTTTGGTGCCATTTTATTTGAGGAAGTATTTTTCCCATTTGTATTGTTCAGATGTAACATATTAATATTATCATTATTATTAGAATTTCTTTTCATTAACAACACTAAGGCAAAATGGTTTTTTATGATATTTGCAAACCTTGGCCAGAGTTAGGAACTGATAGGCAAAGAGGAATCAAGCAGTACAAGAGAGTAGTGGTAACTGTTCTTCTCAAGAGGGCAAAATGTTTTACTTTTTACCCAACCAGATTTTCCTTTTCCTGGTTAGCATGTCATTATACTTAACTGTACTTTCATATCTCTTGGAACCATAAGAGAAAATAGTTAGTTTTACCTGAGTCTCCAATTCTCTGCAAAATATTTCCTTTACTGCATTTGCCTCAAAATAGAATGCATTTGGCTTTATAAAATTGTAGTTTCTGTTGTTTCAGCATTTATACCTCCCTCTCCATTTTCTGATATTAATAACCCACATATTTGCCTGAATACCAGCCTCCTGATCCTTCTCCTAACCTCTTTAGGCTTACCCACCCCCAAACTCTGCTGCCCACCACTGGCAAGTTGATCTTCCTAAAATGTTTTCATGATGTCATTCTCCATTGCCACTACAGCAATGAGCCTTACAGACTTGGCACAAAAACTGAGAATGGGTAGTTGGAGTCACTAAATATTTATGAATGAATATTTATGATGTGCCTACCAAATATATGATCTTGAGCTGGAAAGATTTACTACAGATTTTATAGAAGCTGCCTAGATGAGTTGTTTTATGGGGGTTTTACATTGAGTTAAAAGATGATAGTTCTACATGTACGGATTAGAAAAATAGTTTTTCTCTCATACTACTTTCTAAGGAAGTAAACTGTAGTGAAATGATGGAAAGGACTCTTTTAAAAGTAGTCTTAAGCAGTTGAGTATTTCAGATTAAGTCATTTCCTGCTTTTTCAGGCTTTGTACCATCTTTGTTTATATTCATCCTTTGTGGGCTTGAGTAAGAAGTGTAATATTTTTAAACAATGTAGCAGTTTTTAGAAGAAAACTTTTTGTTTGTAGAGCTTATTTAAAATAATGTTTTAAATTAATTTAATAAAATGGTAAGCATATGGCTTTAGCAAGTAATCTCAATGTAAGTTATAAGACAATGTCTCTATTATCCATTATATTACCATAATTTGTCTTGTGATCAACAGAGATATAATTCCTTGGGGTTTTTTAAAAATCTTATGTATTTTCCCTTTCTGTTGTTCTCTTTTTCTATAGGCAACGACTGAGCGACCTTTCATTCAGAAGTTATTTCGACCAGTTGCTGCAGATGGACAATTGCATACACTAGGAGATCTCTTAAAAGAAGTTTGTCCTTCTGCAATTACTACTGAAGGTAAAGTATGATCGTCATTATTAAGCATTGGCTTTTACAAAGAGATACTCTGCTGTCACTTCAAAAATATTTTCCCTATTTTCATTACTTAGTGGGAAATACCCTTCCAAACAGAAGCATCCACTCTTTCATCTAATTCATATTTAGTAAACTTTTTCACTAGATCTTTAAAACAACAAAAATAAACTTTACATTTATTTTGGACCAGTTTAACAAAACTAGATGTGCTATTTAAAAAATTTTTTCCCAGCTGTGATTTTCAAAGTCTTATTTTGCTAATTTAACAATATAACATGATTTATAAACTAAATTAAACAGATATGAGTGTGATCAGTTGTCTCCTTGTTCATTTGAACTTTATTATTTTCACATATCTATTAAGGTCAAATTGTACAGCTTTTAATAGTGTTGTGGAAAAATAAGCATCTTTAGAGTTGGCATATAAATTTCATTGCAAAGACTGAAACTGTAAATAGCAACTCAAGTTTATGTATAACTTTATCTTAACAATAAGGTATGCAGAAACTAATTTCTCTGTAGTTTTTCTTTATCTTTTCTTTGTTTTTAGTAATTGACAAGTAGCCAAGTATAATAACCTCAAATTAAGGATCCTCGAGAATATGGACTGTTTGATATTTTTGCTTCTATCCCCAGCATCTAAGCATAGCACTTAGTACATATTAGATGTTTAATAAATGCTGTAGAATTGAAATGAAGGTTTATCTTGTCTTGAAATCAATGTAATCACAATTTCTCTGCCTGTAATATATTAATTAATCTTTGTCTTCTTGTATTCATATTTCTTTATTTATATTTGTTCTTAACTTTTCAGCTTTCCCTCACTTTCTGGAATAAGGAAGGATATATATAGAATTTTTTTAAAACATCTTCACACCCAGTGAATTTGCTAGTGGTCCATATGCATATTTCAGTATGATGAGCAGCTTAGTCTTTTTTTTTTTCCAGAACAATTGAACCTATAATTCTAGGAGATTTCAGGATTTCAAACATGAGTTTTAAACCACTTATTTTAAAACCTTATTCAGAGCTTAAGTATGAGGTGCATATCAGTCAAAAACATCAGATCACTTTCTTAGCCTCAGTTGGCATTTGAATATCAAATGATGAATATAAAATTTGCCTTTTACTTTCATACTTGATTATTTCTCAGTCTCTCAATATAAATAGAAATTACATGGTAATTTTTACATGTTTAGCAAGGAATTGACATATTTAATAGGAAAATTGTGTAGATTAATTTTTTTTTCATCACAGGTGAAGAAAAAAATGTCACTGATACAGACAGTAATCCTTAGGTGAGATTTGAGGCAATGTATTTAAATGACAAGGAAAAGAAAACTAAGTCTTGAGATTAGTGAGTCTTGAACCAGAGAGAGTACAGTTGGGTGTTTCTGTTTTCTTTTATCAGCTCTATTACATATTGAGTGGCTCAAAACTCTGACCCCTACAATATCAGAGAGAGAGAGAGAGAGAGATGCCTATGTTTTATGTATATACATGCATGTAGAAACTGGTAGAGAAGGAAAACCTATATTTAATTGCTACTTAAAATATCACTTTAATGGATATTCTCAAGAAGCAGTTGTTTTTCTCTACTTGTGTAACTGTGTGGCATATATATAATATAATTACTTAGACTCTTATTTTTCCATTTATTAGGAAATTACTTATCAATAGTTTTATGTTGAATGTGTTTCGTACTTATGGCTACATCATCCTCTTTGCCTCAATAATCTGTGAAACACATGGCATTTGTTTGAAACTGACAAGGGGTGCCATTTGAACCCACAAAAAATGCTGATGCCACAGAACCAGTGGCAGAAAGGAACAGGAGTTAGGGAGTTATATCAGAAAGATCCTTGCCTACTCATCCTAAATTATTGAAACTTTTGATCACCATGTCATTATTCTGGGACTCTTTATGTTGAGCTTTCCTATAGTGTTGGAATCATCAATATTTTGTTTGTTTTATTACATTACAAAAAATATAAACTAAAAACTTTATTATGTTTTCTTAATTATTAGTGACTGAATTTATAATTTGTTTCATTATATTTTTTAAATGTACATTAAATCCTTATTGTTATTCATGAAATGTTTGCATCAGCTATCTTACCATACTGATCCTGTTGCAGTATTCTTATGGTTAATTTTTGCTCATTTTTTAACTTTGTTTCTCTGGCTATAGAAATATTGGTTGGGAAATCTCTGGTAACCTGTTAGTGGAGCCTGACTAACGTTGATTACTATCTGTTTCTTTTTACTATGGTTTCTTTCTGTTAGCTTTCTGCCAGGGTATTGATGATTTTATAATATGGACAAAAAGCTTTTTTTGGTAATATGATGCTCGGTTATATTTAAGTATTATATAAATCACTCTGAACACGTGACCTTTTATTATTGATTTGTGTACTTTATTTTCATCTTTTTAGGGTATGTTGAAGGAACTTTGAAAAAAGCCCTGTGCTTTTCATCAGTTGTCTTTTTTTTTTTTTTAAGTCAAAATTTGAGCTAAATTCTTGCATTATTTTATATTTCCAAGATATCAGAATTTGTATAATTTCCTTTCAGAAACATCATTGACTTTAGTTTACTTAGTTAATAAGGTTCCATAATGCCTAAGGAGTGAAAACAACAGTAAAACTCATAAACCTCAAGAAAAATGCCCTATTTTCATATTTTTCATGTACTGTATTTTTAAGAAACTCTCACCACCAGCTAGTGCTTTTATTAGTGTACAGCTCCTGTTCAGGTGCCAACAAACACACCTGCATGACAAGGTGCCAATCATTTGGTAAAGAGCTTCTTTCCTTCTTTATCTTCTTGTACTGTTTGTAAACAGCTACTTGATCTCGTTGCTCTTTCATGGTTCTTGAATTTCATCTAGGAAAGATTATAGCTTATTGCAACTTTACCCAGTTTGTTTAGCTTATTAAAATAGTAACAAACCTCTGTATTCTGTAAACTACATCCTTCGTTCTTGCCATTGAAGTTCATTTTCACCTCATAGCTACCATTTTGGGGAGAGGCCATATCTCCTATAAAATCTTCATGGATTTAGAAAAAGAGAAGGATAGAGGTGAATGTCATGGTGCATTTCACATATTTCATGGAATTTTAGAGCTAGAAATACTATTGCAACCCTCTCATTTTACAGATGAGGAAGTGGTGGCCAAAATTAAAACATAGGTCTCCTATTCTTGGTTCAGTGATTTTTCTGCTATAGCATCCTTTCTTCTCCCCTCCCTACCCACACCATTCTGTTTCTTTGGACATTCTAAAATACTTGTTTTAGTTTAAAAATAACTGTTATTCTTTACAAACTAGCTTTTATGTAATGCTTAATTCTATGGCTTAAAAATACTTAGTAAATGTACACAAAAGATATTATTAGACAGACGATAACACAGTCTCTGACATCTTAGAGCATCCTATGATATCTCTGGCATTTTGCAACCTCTGTTTTTCATATTGTAAGTGGTAGTGTATGTAGCTTTTTCTACTACTACTTTTGTTTGAATTTACTCAGATGGTGGGTATGAAAGTTATCCATGCAAAAGAAAAGCAGCCCTTCTTAGTGTAGATGCCACCAGGCAAAAGACTCCTTCAGTCTCCTTTTACACACTTAACCTACTGCATGTAGCCATTCCTGGAGAACAGCCACAGTGCGACTCCTCTGTTGTGCTCTGTTGGCTACTCCCATCTTAATCTACCACTCCTTTTTTTTGCCCAGGTAGGGAAATTCCAGAGGTAATGGGTGGGTACCTTTTAATGTTTTTTTTCCTCTTTCTCTTTCTTAACTATTAAATAGCTATCTTGGAGAGCTTTACCCTGAAGGGTGGTAAATAGCTACATCTTTCAGGGGTATGGTAATGTATTTCACACTTTGTAGAAAACTACAGTTTCTTTCTGTCTTTTTAGAATAATCTGCTTCCACCTTGTTGGTCTAACCTGGATTGTTACTCTTTCTTTTTTCTACTTTATTGTGCAAAGTGATTTTCCTTTCAAGATCTATGAGAAAGATCTAAAACACTGACACAATACACTCTTTGGTTCAGTACACCCAGGGTGTTGGCAAATGGTAAGCATTCTGGCACACCTGGATGCCTCTTCAGCTGAAAGGGAAAGGCTTGAAGATTGGGTGTGAGTGACCTGACTGTTGTCACATGATAAAAAGAGAAAGTGCTTCGTGAAAGTCATGTGGTACCATTGTCTTTTATTTCCTATAGCAAATGATTCAGTTAGAAAGGAATTTTATGTGAAAGTAGGATGTACTAAGATTTAAGGAGACCTACTGTAGGTCACTGTTCTTGTAGAGTAGCCATGACGAGCTGTTTTGTATGTTTTTCTTTTTGTATCTTATAAGTGGTTGTGGGAGCTGGTTAAATTATAGGTAATAGGAAATAATGCCAAGGTGAACTTAGGTAAATTACCTTTGTGGTTTCAGCAGAAGTTAGCATGACCCAGAAAGCCACGTGTCTGTACCATATCAAGAGCAAAGTATTCCTTTCCTTATTATTTTCCAATGAATATAACATTCTATTGATTTGAGTTCATAGAAGAATCTGTGAGCCCTACTCTGTTACAAATTGCAGAATCCATTAAAAATATTATTCAAGAAATCAGCTGACCATTCAGCTTGTTTAATAATCAAGAACTCTCCATCACCTACTTTTTAATTCTATTTTCACTTGAGATTACACTGAAATGGAGTTATATAATACTGTATGCAGAGGAGACATACATTCTGTGGCAAATGAGCGAGATTTTTTAGATTACTCCCTCATATATGCTTCAGTTGATACTTTATGCCTCACAGATATGACATGGTTTTGAAGGGTCTTTACCAACTACCATTTGATTATGTATTTCCATTTGATTATACAGAATCACACAACTTGTATCATTTTTTAAAATCTTATACATACAAAACAGAATTCACTCTGCTTTAATATAAGTTTAACAGATTGTTAGTTAAG